TGTAGGGATCTGACACGTCTGCGGCGTAATCCCGAGGTGAGTGATCGGAGGTCCGACGCCCTCGGATCCTCGGGGAAATCAGACCAGTGAGGGAGCCGGCCGCTCCAGCTAACAATCGCTCTGTCACATCCGCTTCTGTTGAAGAAGTCATTTTTCACGGCCCGGCCGCCGTCGCTCCGACCCGCCGCCGCCGAGGTGATTCCGTTATCTGAACAAACGTTGTGTTGTGAGCGAAATGACCGAGTGAACGGGTGGTGACTGCCATCATTTTAATGAGGATTAAAGAGGATTGCTGCTCAGATGAAGGTTCCCAAACGCCGCGGCGCCCGTGTTTGATGACATTGACTCTGGTGTTTAGCTCGTCACCTGGACCGCCGCTCTGAGAACTGATGGTCTGACGCCAGCGGAGCCGTCCCTCTGTCAAAACTGGATGAATTAGTTTAATTATTTCTGTAAACAGAGCTAGTTTAATTAACTTAAAGTGTGTACATATCCCCCAAAATCACCCAGAGGCTTCTGTTAACCATCTGTCCACGCTCGTCTCCCACGGAGGAGGAGGAGGAGCTCCACATGTATTATTCCTCCACTCTGATTCACCAGCTGTGAGTTTGGACTCTGAAAATCTGCTCCTACACACATGACTGTCGCTGTTTCTCCTCTTTTTACTCTGACCAATACGGTGGCCCTCAAGGTCGACCACAACAAACATTCATAACATAATAAACTAAATATTTTAAAACGCAGGAAACAACTGAAAAATGAAAAAAAACCTTAATATCACATGATGTTTGTTAACTCTATAAACTCTGAGTTTCATTAACTGACGAAAGTGAACCAAAACACTGAGTCCAGAATCAATCAATCAATCAATCAATCAGACTTTATTAGTAAAGCACTTTTCATACATGAGATGTAGCACAAAGTGTTTTATAGAAAATCATGAAAATATTTTAAATAATATTGATTCAAATTAAATGTACATAAAAGAAACATCAACCTCCCCAGAAGAACGAACAGTCAAACAGAAACAAGCATCTCACATACCAGGCCTTAAATTACCATTTTTTTTAATGGGGTTTGGTCTGTTTGTACTCTTTTGCAGTTTATGAAGCCACATCACAAATAATGAAATAATCCATTAGTAGATCACTTTTCTTCCATTGTCAGCAGGGCTTACATATTAAATGACATTTTTATTTCGACATTAACTTCAGACTTCGGTCACACATGTACATATATATTTACAGACACACATGAATCAAATGTAAACAGCTCAGAATGACCGGAGGAAGTGCTGATTTTCGTGGTCGTTGTTGATTTGATTAAAGTCTATAATCTCAGAGTTTCTCTCTCTCTGGTCCCTGACAGACCTGCAGACGTCTTAAAACTGTGAACTTCAAAGTGGTTCATTTAAAATGGATCCTGATGGGCATCGACTCACTTTTAGAGCGTGCCTCAAGTGGTCTTCAGAGGAACTGCAGTTTTTTTTAAACTTTCTGCTTTATTTTCCAAACTGACAGTATTTTGTTTTAACCAAAGTAACACTTTGTTGAAGTGAGGGGTAACGCCGTCGAAGCGTGGCCGTGTCTGGTGTTGTTCTCGTTGTTGTTGTTGGCCTTAAACGCCGCAGACAGAGCTCGCCGTTGGCCTCCTCTCCTAATCCTCCCAGATGCCCCTTTGTCCCGAGGACCAAACTGGCTCCTCGTCTAACAAACAAACAAACTGTCCGTCGTTCTTGTCCAACTACCTCGCCAAACTAGATCCTCTCCTGCCAAGAGCCGGACCTGAGTCTCTGTGGTGGTGTTTTACCTCTCCACTGTCCAGATGCTCCCCCATTCCTGCTCCAAAGTGACGCCGTTTATTGGAGCGAGCGTGCGAATCAGCGCCTCTTCTCCTGACTCATCGGATGTCTGAATGTGGATGAAGTCCGCTTTTATCGCTGTATGGTGTGTCAGGGTGATTTCCAATATGTGGTCCGGATTACTGAGGCCAGCCTCTTATCTGTGGGCTCGTTTGGCCGGAGCCGGACTAATAAAGCTTGGACTGAAAGTCGTCTCCTGACAGAGCACCAACTCCAACTGCTGTTTGGCATGTCTGTGCAGACGTGTGTTTGTGTATTCAAGTGGAGGAGGGGTGATGTTTCCAGATGGGGCGAGGTGCCAGGAGCTCAGTGTTGGGACGTGACTTTGCTGTGAACCTTTATTTTCCTGCAGGCTGGATGTTCGGTGTCACCAGCAGACAGAGACAACACACGAGTCCTGCAGGACGGGCCGTGGCAGCCTGTCAGAAACCATCAGTGTGTCTTTGTGCGGCTTTAGGAGAAAGGTTCACTTTCACGCCTGCTGCGAACGCTGATCAGTCGGTTATTGATAACGCATTAGGGACTCTGTAAAGGTAGGACACTCATTAAGGACCAGATCATCCTAAAAAAGTCCCTCTTTATTGATTCAGACCTGAAAACTCCAGATCAGTGAGAGTAACACCGAACCGGAGCGAGCGCTCCTTTGATCGTTCTTTGAAATAAACGATGGTGTCGTGTTTATTAGCTGCTAATTGGCGCACCTGGATTTGTGGCTGCCAGCTTTAATCACCTCCCGCAGGTCTCGTAATTCTCTGTGAAATGCATGATGGGATTTATCAAGTACCAGCTTCAGGGACTTACTGTGATGGTGAAAGATTCACATTCATATCTAACTGGGCGGTGAAGTGAGGCGTTTTCTCAGCCTCACGTTAGTGAAGTAGATCTGAGTACATCTATGTAGACTATCTCTACGTTAAAGTCAGCCGAGACCATCAGAGAAAAAGAATAAACTGTGAGTCAGAGTAAGTCGTAGGATTGTATGACAAAAATGTTATGTAATGTAAATTATAATGTTATATTAAAGTGTAGTATAATAAAAAATGTCATAGTAAAGTATGATAAAAATATCTTAGTATAGTAAGATAAAAATTGTCATATTATAGTATGATGAGAATTTCAAATTTATAGTGTATAATAAAAATATTATAGTGTAGTTTGATAAAAAGTTTAAATTTTAGTTGTAAAAAAAGGTCCTGGTATAGTGCGATAAAAATATAGTAGTATGATAAAAGTTCCACATTTACAGTGTAGTATAATAAAAATATCATAATGTAGTATGATAAAAAAAATTCAATTTTATTATATTAAAAAGGACCTGGTATAGTATGTAAAAAATGACAGTATAGTTTGATAAATTAGTATGAAAAAAATATCACAGCATTGTATGATAAAAATGTCATAGTGTAGTATCATAAAAATCACAGTACAGTATGATAAAAATCATAGTATAGTATAATAAATGTTTCACAGGTAGGGCTGCTGAGATGGTCTCTTTCCCTGAGTCGAGGTTTGCAGTGATCGTGGTCGTCCTGACAGCTGTGTTTATGTAATAAAGACAGTCTGAGAGTTTACCTGTTTACCTTTGGTTCGGGTTCGACTCTCTCTGTTGCTCCTAATCTGAGAAGTTTGACGACAGAAACTAAGTCAGAAAACTTTCTGAACCACCAGATTTCAGTCAAATAAACTCATGAATAAATGGAGCAGGAACGACTCTTCAGTCATGACCTCCTCCTTCCTTCCGTGGCGGTGCCTAAATAACCGACCTCTAACCTTCAGACCGTACTGTGTTCGGTCTCTGTCTGTGATTGGCTGAGCAGGTCAGTTTTTGATCTTCGACAACTACACTCGACTTTAAGCTGCTTCATAAATACTCGTGCATCTTTACGACCAACAAGAGCAAATGTAAACACACCTGCAGATCTCTGAATTCAGAAAGTCTGTGAAGTGAAGGAACTCTGTGTTTATTCTGGATTTAAAACAGTCTGATAAATCTCATTAATTCTGATTTTTCAGGGATCAGAACAGGTGAAATCACAGGTGTCTCTGTCCCGCACTCATCCTTTGTTTTCAGCTTGTTGATGATCAAAAATAATCATCATTATAAAAGACAAACAGCTGATGTTGGAGTGATTCCACAGTCGGCTCTGAGCGGGTTGGACAGTGAAGTGGGTTTTTCAGCTTTTTGGGCACAACTCCTGGGTGGATGAATTCCCAAACGCTTGTTTGCTGTGACAAAAAGCAGGGCTAGTGTTTGTGACAGCACAGACTTCTCTTTAAAAATTAAAACCACAAAGTCCACTTAGTGTTACCTCGCTGCAGATGTTCCTCTCTGCGGCCCGGCCCGGCCCGGCCCGCGTTGAGCCAGAAAAGTGAAACGGGTTAAAACTTGTCAAAGTGAGGGACGCGTCTGTGAGGCGTTTTCACGTCGACACCTTTGTTGTTGTGGGATCGGTCTGAAGGTACCTGCAGTTCTGATTCATCTGTTGGTTTTTTATTATTTCTCTTCAAAAGAAAAATTATTTATTCAGAAATTCAAGAGTCCTGCAACTTGAAGAGTCGAGATGAAAACTGAAAGGAGAGGTTAACCAAACATCACGCCTGAGAGGAGATGTGGAGCAGTTTTTCAGGCTTGTTTTTTATTGGTTGGTTTCCAAAGGTATTCTGAAATGGTTGGTGAGGTGGATTTCTGAGTTTATCTGCTGCTTCACACACAAAGGGCAGAGAGAAGACCTTGAGCTGATTGAGCTTTTTTTACCGGGACTCTCTCTAAAACACTGAGCTGTTTTTGAGGACTGTTCACTTCTCCTCTTCACCAGCATCTCTCAAAGCATCCCTGTTGTGAAGTTAGAAAGGCTGAATGGAGCTGAGCGAGAAAAAGATGTAACAGAAGATAATCAGTCTGAGTCATGAGATCAACACAGCAGGAGACGCCGTGGGGAGAAAAGGCTGGAGGTTGTTTGTCCCTGAAGACGGTGGATATCACACTGGTTTCAGAGAAGAAGAAAAACTGACGCCATCATGAGAGAAATCCTGGAATACAGCGGATATCAGGTTATTACTGTCCTCATTTACTTTACTCTAAATACAGTCAGACAGACGTGCACATCCTGATTCATCTGTTTCTTATTTATAAAGTCACATGAGGGTTTTATTAAACTGTTTATATAGAAACAAAATCACTCTTACACACAGACGATGAAGAAACACTTATTACTGCCAGTTTGCTGCTTTATTAAGAAACCTACACTTTAATATTCAGCCTTGGGAGAACAAATGTCACGTCTTCAGTTAAAAAACAGTAGTTAGCTTTGTTAGCCATAAACATTATTCATCTTAGGGCGGTCACACAATAAGTTTACAAATCAGGATTAATCACAGTATTGACACAGTTAATCACATCTTTAATCGCATGTTTAAAATTTCACTAAGTAAGGGTGTTTCTGCTTCTGGGGTCTCCTTTATCAATCAGTGTGTCAAATCTATGCTAGCGTATATCTACGTCAGAAACTGTGAAATAATTTAACAGATAATTCAAATCTATTAAAGTTTGTGCAAATACACTTTCATACATCGTTTCTTTTTTAAATCTTAACAGACCCGAGAGTCTAAACCTCGTCTTCTACACGCCCACAGTCATCTATAGGAGGTTAATGTAAAACAGCTCATGAATTCAGATCTATTGAAATGAGCTGAAGGATCAAAGGTTCTCCTGATATCTGATGGACTTTAAGATCTCATCTCATCTCTCCGTGGAGGATTAGGATAGATCCACCTCATGAATTTGATCATGTGGGTCTGTTCATGTGTAAAAGCCTCAGAGGATGTAATCGGACATCAGCTCAGCCTCTCAGCACAGACAGTAGGTTCAAAGTCGTGTAAATATTGCTGTTTCAGGTCTCAGTAAAGACAGTTTGGACTCTACGAAGTTCCTTTGGATGGTTCAGGGCTCTAAAATGCAGGGCTTGACTCTAACTGTTTCACATGTCCTCTTAAGTTGAGAAAGTAAGGAGCACTCAAAGAACTTTAGGGACATAAGTACTATTATAAGACCTATATATTAGGTCTTTTGGTCACATGACAATGAAGCTATTGAAGGAAAACAGCCTTTTCTCAGAACATCAACCGGTAATTTATTGACGGTCCCTTATTCAACACCGACGTTGACAGTGAGGGTGTCGAGTAGATTTAACCGCGCTGCTGTTGTTATTCCCGGTTATGGAGAGTGAGAAGACACCGGTAGATCCTCAGAGAATGTCCGTCAGATATCCAACCTAAAACTAACTTCACCGCCGTATTTACAGGAAAATATATCCAACCTGAAACTAACTTCACCGCCATATTTACAGGAAAATATATCCAACCTAAAACTAACTTCACCGCTTTATTTACAGGAAAATATATCCAACCTGAAACTAACTTCACCGCCGTATTTACAGGAAAATATATCCAACCTAAAACTAACTTCACCGCTTTATTTACAGGAAAATATATCCAACCTGAAACTAACTTCACCGCCGTATTTACAGGAAAATATATCCAACCTGAAACTAACTTCACCGCCGTATTTACAGGAAAATATATCCAAACTAAAACTAACTTCACCGCCGTATTTACAGGAAAATATATCCAACCTAAAACTAACTTCACCGCCGTATTTACAGGAAAATATATCCAACCTGAAACTAACTTCACCGCCGTATTTACAGGAAAATATATCCAACCTGAAACTAACTTCACCGCCGTATTTACAGGAAAATATATCCAACCTGAAACTAACTTCACCGCCGTATTTACAGGAAAATATATCCAACCTGAAACTAACTTCACCGCCGTATTTACAGGAAAATATATCCAACCTAAAACTAACTTCACCGCCGTATTTACAGGAAAATATATCCAACCTAAAACTAACTTCACCGCCGTATTTACAGGAAAATATATCCAACCTGAAACTAACTTCACCGCCGTATTTACAGGAAAATATATCCAACCTGAAACTAACTTCACCGCCGTATTTACAGGAAAATATATCCAACCTAAAACTAACTTCACCGCCGTATTTACAGGAAAATATATCCAACCTGAAACTAACTTCACCGCCGTATTTACAGGAAAAAACATTTGTTGATTTTTTTATGCGCACATGTGACTCTAAATACATTTTAAAATTCGCACACATCTATTTTAGTCGCAGATGTGAGTGAAACGGTCGCACTGTTGAGCCCTAGAAAACAGAAGGATGAAATATCGTCTTTCCACGATGTATTCTGCGTCGTCTCCCACCTGTCTAGATTTTCCTGGTTTATTCTCATTCTCCGCCTCTTTTCTGCAGTGATCCAATCACAGCTATTGTAGTCAGTGAGATCACACCTGATTGGCTGATTTCATGGTATCTCTATCTTTAAATGGAAACTACATCCTCCAGAGTGTTACTCCACCCTCAGCTCTTCTATCCCACTTTCTCTCTCTCTCTCTCTCTCTCTCTGTCACTCTGTCTCTCTCTCTCTCTCTCTCTCTCTCTCTCTCTCTCTCTCTCCCTCTCTCTCTCTCTCACTCACAAACACAGAGTCGGGTTCCTGTGTGTTGTGCCCACTCAGCATTTTCTCGCCCATATGCTAGTGTTTTGTCCTGGAAGACAAATTGGCCTCTGCAGTTTTGGCAGCATTTCCAGAACCCTTCATCCCGTCTCAGCTGTCCATCAGTCTCTCAGCTCTCAGCCCCTCATGGTCCGTCTCAGCTGTCCATCAGTCTCTCAGCTCTCGGCCCCTCACGGTCCGTCTCAGGCCTCCCCTTCTTCTGCTCGATTTGGAGCTAAAACACCAGAAACCATTTATCCAGCCTCACCGTCCTGTTTGGACCTCCACATTTCTGCTGACCAGAGACCTGACCACGTTTATCCAGACTCTTGGGTCTCAAACTGTGACAGCTGATCCACTGTAGCGCCATCTGGTTACTAATCCATTATAAATCGGTATTACAGCTCTCAGTTTACACACAACTGGTCCAGTTTGTTAGAGCTGAGGACTGAAACCCTGTCCGCCTCGCTCTCATGACGCTGCCGTCTACGGGACACTGAGGTTTCCTCCTGCGAGCCTTTCTTTAGTCACATGACTAACACTGATTATAGTGGAATAAAAGCTCTCTGTGAGTGTGACCACATGAATCCAACAACTTTACAGGAAGTAGTCAGTCCAATTAAATGACTAAGAGTCCAACAAAAGGAGAGAGTGAAAAACTAACTTCACCGCCGTATTTACAGGAAAATATATCCAACCTGAAACTAACTTCACCGCCGTATTTACAGGAAAATATATCCAACCTGAAACTAACTTCACCGCCGTATTTACAGGAAAATATATCCAACCTGAAACTAACTTCACCGCCGTATTTACAGGAAAAAACATTTGTTGATTCTATTATGCGCACATGTGAGCCTAAATACATTTTAAAATTCGCACACATCTGTTTTTAGTCGCAGATGTGAGTGAAACGGTCGAACTGTTGAGCCCTAGAATACAGAAGGATGAAATATCGTCTTTCCACGATGTATTCTGCATTGTCTCAATCACAGCTCTGCAGTGACCTTTAAAACGACCTGCACCTTTAAAGGTACAGTGGGTAGTATTCAGAAACAATAATATATTCCCATCTCTACACAGTGTATGTCTCAGGAACAGCATGTTTAGGTTACAGAGCTGCCACAGTCACGCAGTTTGACCCGTTCTCTCACGCCAAACGCCACACTTGACGTCCAATACTCTGTTTTTATTTATTTCATGACAATAACCTTGACTTGTCGTAGTTCGAGTAACTCTGACTGACTGACCGAGATAACCGATCCATCAGTCCTTTGTGCCTAAATCTAACCAACCACCAATCAGAGGCAACGAAAGGCGGGTCTTAGCGTCTCTAACTATCTTTGACAAACAACAGCGCCGACATTTCAAACCCCATGACTACCCAGTTTTGATCAAATGAGATCATTTCAATAATGTCGTAGTTCGATGTCGACGTTGGACAAATATTGATATTTTAAGGTACAAATCCACGTTATAAAAAAACCACATTTTTCCCGCCGCACACAGGTCGGGTTTGTTGAACTGCTGGTCGTGACACTTCTCCATCACTGGCTGAAGTAGGACCATCAGACCATCATCAACAGAACTTAGAGGAGAGCACGTTTTAGACGCCTGATGCATGGTTAGAGCACGGGTGGACAACCTATGGTACTGGGTGAGGACCGTTTTGAATGCAGCTGTGAAGCTTCTAATGGTCCCAGGATGAAGATCGACTCCTGTAGACCACCGTCATCCTTCATCAGTGATGTGGTGGATATTAATTATCCTGACATGATTATAAAGGCAGTGAGCAGTCTTCTCCTCACTGTTGTTGTCAGTCTGTTCAGTCATGACTCAGTCCTTCACTCTTCACCAGATTAAAGAGGTCCAACAGTGGAGGAACATCTGCTGCTCTGCAGGTCTATGATCCTCCTCTGATCACCTCACCCTCAGTCATGACTTCTAGCAGTTCTAATGAGGTTTACTGTATTTACTGTATTTACATGGTTCTTGGTTCCTGTCATGGATCCCTCTAAGGTTCCTGGTTCCTGGGACTGGCTCCTGCAGTGGAAACAGACTCTCTGACATACGATCTTCATCTGAGGCAGATCGAAATGTTGCTGAGGAGCTCAGGGTGGAGATGTGTCTGAACTCTCTTCTGAATCATGGAGGACGAGTCCATCAAACCTCTGTAGGAGAAAAACAACAACAGCAGCGTCGGACTCTGAAAGACTCCTGTGTCAGCTGTCCAATCAGAGGAGGAGTTAATCCACTCGAACAGGAATCCCAGACGTGTCTGCTGAGGAGATCTCTTTTGTTTAGTTACGTCAACATGAATATTTGATGATTTTCTTCCTGAGGCTGTTGTTGGTCAGACGTAGACACTGAACTCCACAGAGACGGACAGACGGACTTCTCTATACTCCGCTCTGTCGTTCATGTTTGTCGGCTTTGAGCTTCAGACTTGGAGAAAATGAAAAAGTACGTTGGATTCTTGATCTCCACACTAGCGCCCTCCTGGTTATTTAACGTGAGAGTTTGACAAAGACAGGATCTGTTTCTGATGGAGCGTCAGGAGGACCTTCAGACTCCTCACACCTTCTTCAGTGAAACACAAACTCTGCTTTAATGTTGATGAACCTGGATTAGATCAGATTATCGAGGTTTGAACCGTCCGTCTGAAGTTAAAGTGACTGAATTTAACATGATGAAGAGTTTGACTCTGTCTGACTGATGAAGATGATAACTCCTCGTTCGGTGGAGTCCTCTGTCTCTTCTCCCTGTAGTTTTTTGAAGCGTCTCTCTGCTCCTTTCTTCAGTCTGCTGTCTTGTGTCTCTTTGTTCGACTTACTTTTGTATTTCTGTTTTTTTTAGTCTAGTTATTTCAGACTTTTACTGGATTTGTTGCTGATTAACTGAACTTATCTTAGTTTTTTTCCCCGTTTCTTCGTCGCTCTTGTTTCGAATGATCCTCGTTGTTCTTTGACGTCTCCCTGATGTTGTCTGATCCTGTTTAATGTCTCCTCTCCTCTTTTTTTATTCTTTGTTCTGATCTGAGGTTTTCAGGCTCTTATTTTAGTGATAATTTAGACACTAACACTTGGTTGAAGGCCTGTAGTGTCTGTTGAATCCTCCTGTTGGATGTGATCACAGTCTCATTCAGCTCATTTATTACTGCCTCTGTAAGTTAAAGTTTTCTTCATCCTTCTCACTCATCTTCAGGTTGTTCTGCGTGTTCTCTGCTGGAGGTTTGAAGGTGAAGGTTGAAGGTGAAGGTCAGATCTGGTCCTACTCTGTAGATTCATGAAAAAGACACTGAAATCCTCGACTGAATGAGATCTAAAGAGTCTGTCATCATAAGAAGTTAACTCTGTGTTTATTCTGTTAGACGACATTTGAAGGAACAATCAGATCATGATGATCTAAAAACCTTCTTCTCCATCCTCCTGAAGTTATTATACAACAAAAAACAGCATTTCTGGGTTCGAAGGAGGATCTCCTTCCCTCCTCCCCTTCCCTCCTCTCCTCTCTTCTCCCCTTCCCTCCTCTCCTCTCTCCTCCTCTCCTCTCTCCTCTCCTCTTCTCTCCCCTCCTCTCCTCTTCTCTCCTCTCCTCTTCTCTCCTCTCCTCTCTTCTTTCCTCTCCTCTCCTCTCCTCCCCTCCCCTCCTCTCTTCTCTCCTCCCCTCCCCTCCTCTCCTCTCCTCTCCTCTCCCCTACTCCTCTCTTCTCCCCTTCCCTCCTCTCCTCTCTCCTCCTCTCCTCTCCTCTCCTCTCCCCTACTCCTCTCTTCTCCCCTTCCCTCCTCTCTCCTCTCCTTTCCTCCCCTCCTCTCTCCTCTCCTCTCCTCTCTCCTCCTCTCCTCTCCTTACTCCTCTCCTCTCAGTATAATCTAATCCTCCCTGTATCCAGCAGACAGTCTCGTTAACAGATTCATTAATCTGGTCTCTAATTAGTCTCTTTACCCTCTTTTATTATTATTATTATTATTATGTTTGTATTAATCAGCTGATTTTGTTTCTCATGTTTAAACTTCTGAGTCCTAATGAACGGACCAATGATGTGTCTCTATACGTCCCTCTGTTATATCCTTGTGTGTGTGTGTGTGTGTGTCTCTGTGTTCTCCCTGACGTTGAGGATTTCCCTCAGATTGAAATATGATCAGATACATGTGTATATATATATACATATATATATATATATATATATATATATATATATATATATACACATATATATATACATATATATATATATATATATATATATATATATATATATATATATATATGTATATATATATATATATATATGTGTGTGTAAAAACCCTGTCCTGGTTTCTTTCTCGTTGAACAGACAAGTATGATCATGTGACTCCGTCTCGCTCTGCCTTCAGGTTCTACGCTCCTCATAACCGCTCCAAGAAAAACACTCAGCTGATTAGTGCGCAATAATTGGGACCCCTGATAAAATTATGAAAAATAGTGCGAGAATTAAATTACACCAACCCCCAAGACACAATTTCAATTAAAATGGAAATCGCATTAAAATCACCTGGGCGGCCTCCAGTCAATCAGGTGCAGTAATTAGAAAGTGTTCTCGGAGGTCCCTGAAGGACCCGGGCTCTGGTTTTGGGTTTCCAGGAAGGATTTTCCTGAACCGCCTTAAAAAGCTTCACTGTGGACAAATATTAGCATTAAAACAGGCTGAAAAGGTGTGTTTTAAAAAGCTCTTTAGAGTAACCCCGACAGTTTTAAAAACCAGAGTTATTAATGAGAGAACAGAGGGGAATAATGAGAGGATGAGTCAAATACTAATGGAGACAAAAACACTCCTGGTCCTCGACCGGAGGACAAGTCTCTCTGTGGACCGGACCCTCACCTCAGCCTGACATCAGTAAAACCACTTCAGTACGTCCAGAGTTACTACAGGTTAAACAAGGTCAAACGAGGTCAAATGAGGTCAGGCTGCACAGTTTCAGAGGCGGTGCTAACTGTAACGATGTTTGCATTAAAGGTGTTGTAGTCAGGATCTGAGTTAGTTCCAGTTTTTAGGAGAAATCTTGAATGTAAACTCGACCCCTCCCAACCAGTTTTCCCCTCAGCTCCTCCTCTCCCCTCAAGCCCCGCCCACAAACAGACGCTCCTGCTCGCTCGTATCGTTAGTGACATAGTCCAGGACCCGAGGGAGGACAGTTTAGCGATGGCGCTACAACACGCTACAGCAGGTCCGTTTGACAAGAAACACTTCTGTTACAGACACTTGTCTTACTTTGTTAAAGCGGTTTACCTGTCCAGCAGAAAGGTTACAGGGTCACCAAGATCCCCAAGCGTCCCCCATGGTTTATGTTGACCCGGCTTTTTAGCTCTTGTCCGGTCTACCTCCGTTTTAAGCGCCCGTTATTCCTCCAGAGTCTCCGGTATTTACTTTGTTTTCTTGCTTGTGTCGGCAGTCGTGGCCAAAGGAGGATTCAGACAATTTTCCGAACTTTCTGGTTGGTTTCTACTGTCCGATATTGTAGCACGCTAACTTTGTTTGGGCTCCTGAACGACACGGGGGAGCAGCGTCTGCCTCACAACCAATCAGGTTAGAGGAGGTGGAGAACGGCTTTGTTTACAATCAGAAAGAGATATCGTTATATGACCAATTGTCATCAATAACTAATAACTATTGACTGATATTAGAAGATGTTTATAGACAAAATAAACAAATGTTTCTCTAACAGATTCCTGCCTCAGTCTCCTCTCAGGTGTTCTGGTGTCATGGCGGTCAGAAAGTGAGGAAAGTGAACAGACGTGGACGTCATGATAATAAGTCATAATTAATTTATTATTTCAGACAGAATAAAGAAAAAAAAAAACATGTTCTGATCGTGTTTCTGCTCTCTAACATGAACTTTGTTAACCTCTCTCTTTACATTAAATTTCCGACACACTCGTTAATTTGACTCACGTTTAAAAGACAATTGAAAGTCAAATTAATTCCAATGACCTTTAGTTTCTCTTCATGTTCTCAGACTAAAGCAGGAGAGGACCACATGTCCAGAGGGGCGGATCGATAACAGTGGGCGGTTCGGCTTTATTAAAAGTCCAGATTTACACTTTTAACGCTCTCTCCACTCTCTATCATGTAAATGTCATTATCTGCGCCGGCCTCTAAGAGTAACTCAGTATCTGCTCCAGTATTTAAAGGATCATTAAAAACAGAGATGGATTCAGACCCGCGGGCCTGAAAGACCGCTGAAAACACTTGTTACCAGAGGAGCTCAAAGTCAATACCATCAGCTGTGTGTGTGTGTGTGTGTGTGTGTGTGTGTGTGTGTGTGTGTGTGTGTGTGTGTGTGTGTGTGTGTGTGTGTGTGTGTGTGTGTGTTTTAATTAAGCCTCAGCTGCTACAGTTAAATTATCTGGACGGACATGAAGACGAGGAAATAAACCGCCTTCACGCCAGTCTGCCGGTCTGACGGGGGCTGGTCTTTTATTCATCACAGGAAGTGGGAAAGCGGCGAGATCAGTCGGCGTCAGCTCTTAATTGGTTGGCTGGGAGACTAATCGGACACACCTGCCATCTTTGGAGTCTCATAGACCTGTTTACACCAGAGTAGAGCGGTGGTCCTGCAGACTTATCTGAGGAACACCATCCTCCTGGAGAGCGTAGAAAAGCTGGAGCGACTCCTCCACATCAGGTTCACGCTGACCTCCAGACTCCTCCTCATGGTCGCTCACTCCTTCTCCCCCGTTAGTGCGTGTAAAACCGAACGAACGAGGCGAACTGTGCTGCTCTTTGCTCGTTAAAACGACAAATTTCCACATTTTGAGTCTTTTAAGATGATTCTGAACGCCAAAGCAGACGCCGTCCTCTGAGAGAAGTAAGTGGATGATTGAGGAACATCTCCACCTTTGAAAAGGTTAAGTGAACCGTCGAACAGATTCACCAGAGCTCCTCCTCGTCTGGAGTTTAAGAGCTGAAACTTAAAAACTTACATCTGGATTCAGCTGATTCTCTACAGGTACCAACAGAGACCGGGGCGAGTATCAGAACCGGACCACAGAGCTCTGGGAAAGGAGGTCAAGAACCAGAGGGAGGTGCCGGACGACCAGGTGTCTTGTTTGAAAAGGGGTCGTCGGGGTCCTTTTGCGTTGCGCGTGCTCTGCGGCGTGGCGCTGCTTCAGGTGGTGAAAAAGATTTGAGGTATTCCCCGACTTTGTGAGAACATGTACTCGACATAATTTACAGTCCACATTACTCTGCTTCATGTCCGACCTCCAAAAACCAAAATACCTCCACACCACCGACGTTTTCCTAACGCCAGTGTTGTGGTTGACATTGATGTGGTCATCTGTTGAGCCTTCATGGTCATTTCTGTCGGGGGTAGCACTCATTTTCTTTGTTTCTCACCAACAGTGCTGTCGGCTTCACCTGTTAAAGTGCTATGGTTGGGTGGAGCTGCTGTCTGCTACGACGCTGCAGTTGGTTGATACTTGGTTCTAATTCAGAACATGATTGGTTCAGACCCGGAGACACTCCCCTTTTCATTGGCTGTTCGTATAGTCGACCAAAACATGTCAGAATGACGACTATTG